GTGATCGCAGCGGCTAGGGTTCACAGATTCTGTGTCCTCAGAGCCAGATTTCTTGAGAGGGTCATCTGCATTCCCTCTGCCACTCCCCACCCCCCAACCCACTGCTAACTGGCTATCCCGCCGGTCCAAAGAGGAAGATGAGAGACACATGGCACAGGACCCCACCCCCAGACAAGCCCAGTCTAGAGCAGAAACCCCGGCAACCAGCAGAGGCATGAATGAGTCCGGCCAAGATGAGTCCCAGGCAAATAACCAAACAATAAGTGATTGTTGATATAGCTCACTGATTTGGGGTGGTTTGTTTCACAGCAGTAACTGACTGATACACTATCTGCTGGGGGCTTTTCAACTTTATTAGCCAAATGACTAAATGAATAGGTGAATGCTACAGTTCTCTAAATCGTTGGGTCCATGAGTTGGAGAGGTCTTAATGGTGGGATTCTGTGCTTCTGAGTCTCTGTGGTTTAAATTCCTGGAGTAGAAGCTGGGCACGATCTCTCCAGGAGAGCAGCATGATCCGTGCAGAAAGGTCCATGCTGATCTTTGCCCCATCCCACGTTTCCACTTGACCTTGGTGAGAGCATGTCGGTGTCAGGCAGCTGAGTGTAAGGGGAAGTGGAAACAGTTGAACTGGGACACATCTTCATGACTCCTCTGCCCACAGGGAAAAGCCTAAATGCTATGGGAGGACCTCCAGGCTCTGGTTTGATCTATCTCCTGGTGTTGTCTCCTGCAGCTACACCACCATACTCCCTAAGATGGGACACTCAATTCTGCTCAGTGGTCTCCAAACACATCATGCTTTTTCATGGATCCCTGCCTTTGCTCCTACCATCTCCTCTGCCCGAAATGCCCTTCCTCCATTTAGCCCCCTAATGAACCCCTACTCATACTGCAAAACCCAACCAACATAGCCCTTCTATGAAAATTTCCCCAAACTGAGCTAGAAAACTCTTCCTTGTGATACTGAAATAATTTAATGGCATGTCAGATCACACCCCATTTCCCCAACTAGACTGTGAACTCGTCGAGAGCATGCTCAATAAAACCAAAGAGGGTAGATGGGTGAGTGAGCGATCGGTGTGGGTACCTTTCCAACAAGGTAGAATGGTTCTGTGCAAATACCATGGGCACTGCAGTCAACAGGTCCTGGGTTCAGATGCAGAGGATTGTTGCTCCATGAGACTAGGCTAATTCCATTGTTTCATGGGTCTTAGTTTTCCCAGCTATAAAATGGGACCAAGAGTGATCATGGCAGGACATACTATCTCCAGAGAAAAGGCTCCTTCCCTTCTCCCTGCCAAGGGACTCAGTCCTCCTCTTCTGAGGGGAGGGCTGCCTCTTTGGCCTTCTTCCTGGCACCTCTCCCAGGGGTGGGAGGTCTCAGGAGGTTGGGAATCAGGGAGAGGCTGGAGCTCAGGCTTCTCTGAAGGTACTTTTCTCTCCGTAGGGAGTCGCTGTGAGCAGCGTGACAGCGTCATCATCGCCTTCATCATGCACATCAACGCCTGTTTATCAGACACCAATGAGGACTTTCCGTTCATTATCTCTCAACAGTCCTGCCAGGTAGAGACTCTTAGTATCCTCATTTTAAAATAAAAACACGGAGCCTTGGGGAGGTGCTAGGACCTGGTGAGATGATTTCTCTCCTTCTCACTGTTCTCTTCTTGGCCTGAGGATCTTTTATCTTTGACCTTGTATCTCTGTACAGTTAGTCGTAGGGAAACCATTGTTTGATTTGGGGCTGATCTCAGTGAGCCTATGGCTTGGGTTTCCTGGGCTCCAGACTCTGCTCCCTGGAGACCAAAGGAGAGAGAGCGGGAAGCAGGGTCCAGGAGAGCTCCTAGGGCTTGGAGTAGCCTCAGTGAGGTACTTCTGCATTTGTCAGCACCGCCTGATGCGTTCTCCCCAGTTCCCCCTGTTTGACATTCTTCAGTGCCTAGTGTTTGCCAGGCTCTGTGCCAAGAGGAGGAGATGCTGAAATAAATGTCATTGTCATGCCCTCAAGAGCCTACCAGTCTGATGGCTGAGGCAGCCCTGAAGACAAGCTTCTGGAGGCCATTTATCTAAAGGCTGTAGTTAATGACACTTGGAAGTGAGAAGCCATTAAGGCATCATCTTGGTGTCAACTCCAGTCAATTGCTTATGGCCTCCTCGAAGCTCAAGGGCTTGGAAAGAAAGGATGCTATGATTGATTAGCAATGTCTGCTGTGTGCATGGCTAGGAGAGTTCTGCCCTGTGTGCCAATTACCTGCTACCCCTGGTTGAGCAATGCTACTTTTTGTAGGTGTGACAGCCTGCCCAGTCAGAAAGGTTGAAGGAAGCCATAAACAGGATTTTTGCAATCCTGATCTGAGCACGGTCTACATGCCTTGGAGGAAGGTAGGGTTTCTGCTCCTGGGAGAGTCTAGAAGGCTCCCAGAAGTACTGACAAGTGAGCTGAGCTTGAAGGATAAGATTTCAGTATCTTATAAGTGATTCCCATTGACATATCCTGAACACTTAGTGTATTCCGTATATTTTTCAGATGGAGAAGATGTCAGGGAGGACCTTTCAGGCAGCAAGGTACAAGGGACATCTTGAATGCAGTGTAGCGAGGGTGACAAGAGAAAGGAGTATGAGGAGAACAGAGCTGGGGGGCAGGGGAAGCAGCTCACAAAGGTTCTGGAGTAGAGTTTGGCTTTCATCCCACAGGCCCTAGGAGCAAGGGGGCACCTTGCATTTGAGCACAATTTCTCTGCATGGAGCCACCAGCGAGGGGGCGGCTGCGGGGCTGAGATATCTTCTCCCTGAGTGTTCTCAGCCGGGAGAACAGAGCTCCTGCAGCCATGAGGACACTGCTATTTTAAGCCACCTGCCAACAGCCCGCCTGCCTCCCCCACTGCTGTCTTGACACGCGGCTCCTGGCAGCGAACCCAGTGTCACCCCAGCAGACAGCGCTGGGCGGCTGGATGCAGATGCACACCTGGGCAGGTGACAGCTGTGGGGACCCCAAGCACCTTCCCACCCCTAGCGCCCAGCATCCTTGACCCACTAGCCTGGGGGTGGGGCTGAGGGGAACCCACATCCTGCCCCGCTCAGACAAGGCAGGCAGACCTGGGGGCTAACCTCTGGTCTTACATATGTGGTAAGACATCTCTCTTCTCAGAGCCTCTGTTTTCCTCATCTGTAAAATGGGTATAATGATGAAATAATCATGCTGCCTCACAGGATGCTGGGGGAGCTCTTCAGGCGATCAGATATGTAAGGGACCAGCACTGTGCCTGGCACATGTTAGGAGGTGAGAGCATCTGTACCAACCACCAGCACGCTCCCCCCACTTACCCTGCCTTATTCCTCCCCACCTGACATTATGTTGGGTATTCATTGGACTGTGACAGCAGAGACTCTGGATCCTTAGCATCTAACAGTGCCTGACATATAGTAGGTGCTCATAAGTAGATCGTGAACGAAAAGAATCGTCCTTGTTATATAGTTTCACCTCTCTAAGACTTCTTTTCTCATCTGTAAAGCCTTCATTCATCCATTCATTCACCCATGAGTCACTGAGCTCCTACTATGCCCCAAGCACTGTGTGAGGCTCTAAGAACCAAAACTGTGCAAACGTGAATGGCCCACAATGTCCAGACTGGGTCTGTTTTCATCCGGTTAAGGATTAAATTACTAATTCTAAAAGTGGACAAAATTAGAGATGATTTGACCTCCAAACAGGTGGATCTATACCCAGTCTCATCACCATTCATAAAACAAGAGCCAGCCTTGTTGCCATGGCCAGCCATCGCCAGATCTAGTTGGGGAAGAAGGGGGGATAAAGGAGTATGGTGGTCCCTAGTCCAAGCAGCATGAAGGGAGCATTTGGTGGTGGAGAGCCACGTGTGGTCCCAGTGCCTGTGGTTCCTGGAGAAGCCTGGGTCCACCTGGCCAATTGGGAGAAGGTCATCAATTCCACCAGTAGGTTCCTGAACGTGTCACCCCTTGGCAGGGAGCAGTGTGTGTGTCCAGATCCTCAGAGACTGGTTGGCCCTGGCTCAGGTACCAGCCTAACCCTGCCCAATTATATCTCTCAAAGCCAACTGCACACTGCCATTGCAAATATAACATCTGCATCCAAAATTCAACCTTGTCTGTGACCACCCATTTTCATCTATAATGGATCAGAGCTTGCTCCCTGCCACCAACCTAGGTTCAAATCCTGGCTTTGCTCCCTACCGACTGTGTGACCTCAGGCAAATTGCTTAACCTCTCTGTGCTTGCTTCTTCATCTGTAAAACAGGGATAATTATAGCACCTACCTTATTGGGTTATTAGGAGGAGAAAATGAGTTGATACATGTAAAGCACTTAGAATAGTACTTGGAACTGTAGACAGTGGGTAAGAATTTGCCATTTTTGATGATCATTATCATTTGAGTCATAGACTTCTGGCATTATTTAACGAAGAGCCCAGTCTGGAGATCAGCACGGGTATAAGTCTTTTTGCAAAAGTTGGGGCAGTGGGATGAGAGGTCCTGATTCCCAGAAGAGATTGTGCTGGAGACTCCCTCTTGGTACTTAACTCTTCACTCCCCTGTAACAGCATCAGGCACCACACCTTGGCCACGGACTCATGTGGGCAACACTTGCTTCCTCTCTTCTAGGCACTGAACATGCCCACGTAATTTTCTCTGGCTAATGGGCTATTAGCAGACATGATGCAGGCAGAGGCTGGAAATGTGCTTGCCCTTCTATGTATTACTGACAGCTACTGAAATGTGGAGGCCATTCTTTACACAGCATTATCATGGTAATAGCTAACTGATACATCTGACAAGGCATTGCCAGCAAAGGATTCTGGTGATGATTATAAGAAAGAATGCATGCAAAGTGTATAGTATAATGGTAGATACATAGTAAACCTTCAGCTAACCTTAACTATTTTCATCACATCCTCATCTTCATCAGTATACCCTCTCCCCACAGCTAGAGCCAAGGTTCCCTTCCCCTAACTCGAGGTCACGTACCTTTCAAGGACCTAGCACGCATCTCCACCTGCTTCCCAACTGGCCTCTCCTTGATGTTCTGAAGAAAAGAGAAAGAAGTGTTAAATTTGTTCTTGGCTACTTTTCCTTGCAACTCCCAGAGGCCCTGCTTACAAACTGAATCAGTTATCAGCTAGTTAGGCTGGCGGTCCCCGGAGGTGCCGCTTGAATACAGATAGGGACCCATGCATTATTCAGTGCGAAGACGGGGAGAAATGAGCAATGCGTCCAAAGCCAGAACAGCAGTGGCAGTAAGGGAATAATTAGCGAGCTGTCACTTGTCCCTGTCACTGTTTCCTCCCTTAACACATGAGGGAAAATAAAAAAAATTTTTTAAATAATTTTTTTTTAAAGGGAGAAGAAAAAAGGCAGGGAAGATCATCTTGCTTCTCGAGGCAGCTGGTAGGTTAAAATGTGACACTAAAGGAGCTTGAAGCAAGGGCTCGGGTTCAGCTCACAAAAGCCGTGGCCTGAGGACCTCCCCCCAATATTTTATCGAACTCCCCTTTCTGCTTGATGATTCATGAGTGCTGCCCCAGCCTTCCAGTCAGATTTGCTGCACGTTTCCATAGCACTGGGAATTAATTTCTCCCGTCTAAGGAAGAGGTGGTGGTGCTGGGAGGGGGCAGGGGGTGGGGAGGAGACGTGAGGGGCAGAGCCACCCAGGCCTGCAAAGGTTTGAGGTGACCTTCCACGAGGACACTGGGATGAGGTTGACAAGACCTGCGCTTGGCTCGTTTGGGGACTGTGAATTTGATTATTCATGAGTTTACGCTCACAGAAAGAAATCATTTTGTTGCGTGATTCCTCATCGTTTCTTGTGGAAGCTATTTTTATTTATCTATTAATGTCTTGTTAGAATTTCTTTTTTTTTTTTTTTTTTGCTGGTGTGTGCCGGTTGGTTTGCCACTTGTGGTGTTGAGCCAGACGAGTAAGGGTCTGAAATGTGTTGATGGCGAGGCCAGTTTTCTCAACGACTTCCCCTGCCTTTTCCCTTGGAAGAATAGCAGAAAGGGTGGGGCGGGAGGGGGGGTGTTGTGTCACAAATATTTGCTTGTTTGATTCATGCCTCTGCTTCCCGTTAGAAATGAGCTGGTTACCTTTGAGTAGGATTGTTGCTTTCTGCAACGATGGAATGGAAATTCTTTGAATAAGTGGAGCCAGAAAGAGGTCGTAGGAGGAAGCAGGGCTTGAGAAAGGGTATAAGGCTAGATGATACTGAGGGACTTTCCAAAATTAGGACCCAGTAGGAGGCAAGGTTGTCCTTGTAGGACTCCCAACTATTAAACAAGTCACCCTTCCTCATAAAAATCTCAGCTTCCTTACTGTGTAATGGGGGACACTCGGGGATGGAAGATTTGGTCCTGAAAGCCCAGAGAAAAATGAAATTCTTTCATGAAGCCACTACCCCAGATTTAGTAAGTCCATGGCGTTTGTACCTCTCCTCCTTTACCCAGTGCCCAGGGCAGACATTGCTAATCAATCCTAGAACACTCAACCCAGGGCAGCCATCTAAGTATCCCAGGCAGTCACTTAGCGTGCAATCAGAGTTACCACTGGAACTGGAGCCATGAGAACTTTTATCAACACGCCTGGGTGTGGGAAAGGGTGGATCCTTAAGGGAGGAAGGCAGAATGTCAAAAGGAATGGAGTTAAGCCTTGCTCAAAAAGATCATGAGTTCTGGATTAGAGAAACGAGAGTGTGAACCCCAGTGGGAACTTAGTAGCTGTGTGATCTCAGGCACATTTCTCCAGGACCAGGGCCTCAGTTTTGATATCCAGGAAATGGATATAATACTAACTCATTGAGCAGGATCCAATGAGACACATGCCAAACACAGAGCTCTGTGCCATACGAGCTCCCTCAACCCGTCTCACCCTTTCAGACTCTAGACTCCTTTGCACATGTCATTCCTGCAGCCTGGAGCATTCCTTCTTCCCTTGCTAACACCTACCCAGGCCGAATGCCACCTCCCCCTTGGGGCTTTCAGGAGCGAACCATCTCAAGTCCATGCAGGGTAAATTACACCCCCTCCACTCACACGTCCTCTACCATATTTTTACATTTGCTGTGCATGTTCAGTAATGAATGACCAATTTAATCTGTTCTCTCCCTTCCTTACTAGATTGGAGGTCCAGGGGATAGGTTGGGAGATTTTGTCACCTCTCTGTCCCCAGCAGCCAACGTAGAGGTTGACAGCTGGAAGAGATCCAGTAAAGGTTTATGAATGAAGGAAGGAATGATTTGCTATGTGTCTCTGGGCAACCTCAGCGCCTCTCTGGGCCTGATGTCTGGCATTCAGCCGAAGCTTAGACTTAGAGGTGACCTGGCTGTGTGTAGGGGGTTCCAGAGCCCTGGGGGCACAGGCGGGGGATGCCCTACTGGTCACCCTCCTCGTTGGCTCTGTCACCAGCTCTCAGCGTCTCGAAGCTGATGCTGAGGAGGGAGGTGGGGACAAATTGACACAGGAGAATTATAGACCGTTGGTTAAACTTTTCTTGATTTTAATTCTGCAGTTGTCTTTTAACATTTTGTAGCCAATGAATTTGCTGGGGCGGGAGGAGTAGTCTCAAATATTTTTGTGAATCCTTGAAAAGTGTTAGGAAAGAGGTCATGCATTAGAGAAGATGTGTGCGCTGTCTCCCTCTTTGTACCTTCTCTCTGTGCTTCTCCTTCTCTCTCCCTTTCTCTGTCACTGTCTCCTATTTCTGTCTTACTGTCTGTGTCTATTTGTCCATCTACACACACACACACACACACACACACACACACACACTGAGGCTTTAAAAGTGAATGATGTACATGACTTTGCTCCCGACACTGTCCCTTCTCGACAACTTTCTCCATCCTCCCTAAAGTGGCATACATCCGTCGGGATCCTGCCTCCCCACCTTCCATCTTCCCTTCCTTCCCTTTGCTTTTCCACCCACTGGGCTCAGTAAAGGAGAGAATTCCCCCCGAGTACCAAGATCTGCTTCAGTCTTAGCATGTGGCCAAAACAAACACCCTCATCAGAAGGAGCCGGGAGGGAGAAAGAGGCAGATCCAGCCAGAGCCATCGTCAAGAGGAAAGAAGCGAGGAGCTGGCAGCCAGTAGGCCAAGAGCTTGGCTGTAACTGGCAGAGCCTCGGGACAAAGGATTCAGTAGCTGGGGAGCACAGCCCTCCCCACAGAACCTGGGCATGACCAGGGATGCGGCACAGAATTGGCTGGTTCTCCTACAGGGTATTGGTCCCTGGGGCCACCACGTCTCCCGTTCAGTTGGTATTTACCAAGAACACCCTGCTTCCTGTGGGGAACACTCTGCCTCCCCTTGTGTAGGATGACTCCATGTGGTTCCATGACTTACTTGATCCTTTTAAATACATTTTAATAAACCTTTTTTATTCAGATGTAACTTAATTATCATAAAGGGTACCAATATGAAGTGAAGAACTCAGTTAAGTTTTGCATGGGCATACCCACCACCCAGGTCAAGATGTAGCCCATTTCCAGACCCCCAGGCAGCACCCTCGTGTCCCTCCCTGTTAACACCTGCCCTGACATAACCACTATCCTGACCTCTATCGCTTCTCACCTGCCTCTGAATCTCGTATGAATAGATTGATCCAGTGTACACTCCTTGGTATCAAACTTTCCCCTAATGTTATGTCTTCATCTTGTTGTTTCATGAATCAGTAGTTTATACTTTTTATTGTTGAGTAGTATTCCATTGAATGAATATATCACAATTTATATCTCCATTCCACTACTGATGGGCATTTGAGTTGTCCAAATAAAGAGCTGCTATAAAATTCTATCTTGTGTCTTTGGTGGTTACAAGCATTTTTTTTTTTTCCTGTAGTTTATATATCCAAGACTGGAATTGCTGGGCCAAAGTATAGCACATGAGCATATAGCATAAATGTGTGTTTAGCTCTAGTAGGTAGTGCCATATGTTTTGTGAAGATATATATAGATCTGTCTGTCTGTCGTCTGTCTGTCTGTCTGTCTGTCTATATCTGCAGTGGCTCCAGGCATATTTTATTCTTAGAGTGAGGATATATTTTTAAAAGTGATTCTATCTAAAATTAAGTTAAAGAAAACCATGAAGTCTATAATAGTACTGGCGACAAGGTAACAGTGGGATGTGACAAAGACCATGGAGGCAGCGTGCCCAGTGGCTGATATTCAGGGGCCCCTGGAGTCCCGACTCATTTATTCAACATGATATTCAACTCATTATTCAACACATACTTTATTGTTGTAGTTCTCTTATCTGTAAAACAGGGGCGATGAAATACCCCCTCCTGGGGTTTAGTGAGGATTAAATGAGTTGGTGGATGTAAAGCCCTTAGAACAGCACAAGGCACAGAGTCAGTGCAAAATAATGTGAGCTATTATTGTGGTTGCTGCTTTTTGAACACCTACTACGTTCCAGACAATAAGAACTCTGTGGATGTCATCTCACTGAATCCATATACGCATCCTGTGCATTTGGGGGATGGGTGCTTTGTTTTCATACCCATTTTACAGATGACGAAACTTGAACTCAGAGAGGCTGAGTCCCCTGCCTGAGGTCACACAGCTCGTGAACAGTAGAGTGAGAACTCAGGTCTCTGTGGTTCCAATGCCCATATTCTCCTTATTACCCCTGGAAGAGAGTCACTTCTTGGTCATCAGCAAAGCAATCAACTTGTGCAATGTTTTATCATCAGGGATTGATCACACGTAGTTAAAAATCCAAATATAAATCTCACTATTGTGGTAGGGAATTACTTTTTCCTCATGTAAAAAAAGTCAGAAGAATGGTGTCCCAGATGCCGTGAGAGATCCAGGCTCTTTCTAGCTGTTGTGCTACCACCTTTAAAGTGTGACCTGCATCCTAATGTTCTCAAAATGACTGTTGGAGCTCCAGCCATCACACGCTCCATCCAGACTAGAAGAAAGGGGGAGTCCAATGATGAAGAGATAAGCGATAGCTCAGATTGCCTTCTTTACAAAGGGAGATTTTCTGGAAGATACACCCAACAACAATTTCTTCTACTTACAAGTTTTTAGACAGAAGTTGTCACATGGCCATCCTACATGCAAGTAAGGTGGAAAAATGTAGTTTTTTAATTGGGAAAATGATTACTCATCCTCTGAAAAATAAATGTTCTCTAGATAGAACAGGTAAATAGATATGTATGGCCAACAGTATCCCAAAGCACAAATATTAACCCAGGGATCCAGGGTTCTTGTTTGATTAGGCATAGAAAAGGATAGTAACTATAAAGTCACAATAACTCCTATGGTCCTGTGTGTGTGTATATATAATAGAGATATACAATAGATATTATATAAATATTGAATTATTATGTACATATATTCAATTATTATTCAAAATATAAACATTAGAGGCCCAGGGAGAAGGAGTTGCATATTGAAGATCACAGAGTAAATAAGCAGCAACCCCAGGAATTGGGTCTCTGTCTCTGGACTCCAAGTCCAGTGCTCTTTCAAGTATCCCAGGCTGTTTTCTTCCCCCTAAGACTTGGTACTTTCCTTCCACTTCTATCCCAGTTTTTGACCTTGCATGCAATGTAATCATTAGTGTAGAAGATCAAATAGTTCTGGTTTTCCTCCCTTCCAGAATACTCAGTGTTGTACTTTCTGCATCCCTGCACTGGGGTAAGGACATGTGAATAGTTCTGGCCAGTGAACTAGGGGGAAGAATGGATGTGTATCAATTCTGGGTGATATAATAACCAATGTAAGACCTTTCACAGCTCACTTTTCCCTCTGGCACTCTGACCAGCAACTTTTGAGAAGGTAACTTCCCATTAGCCTGGGTGCCCAAATGGCTGTGATGAGCAGAGCTTCTTGCCAACTTGAGATGAACACAGTATGAGCAAGAAACAAATCTTTGCTGTTTCAAGCCACTGAGAGCTGGAGGTTGCTTGTTACTGCAGTGTAACATCTTTTCTTTGAATGGTACACATAAGCTTCACGTTTCTTTTACTGAATTTCAGATTAAGTTACCCAAACTGGGGTCGTGGTGCCGCTGAGAACTTCTTCAGCTGTGCTTCTCATGGGCAAGTAGGAACCAAAGCACCATACAAAATTGGAATAAGAGGGTTTCAAGTTCTGGTTCCCATTACAGTAGCCACTAGCCACATGTGACTACTCTGATTCAAATTAATTACAATTAAATAAAATTAAAATTCAGTTCTTCCTTTACATGAGCCACATTTCAATGCTCAATAGCCACATGGAGCTAATGGCTACCATGTTGGGTAACACTGATATAGAATATTTCCATTGTTGTAGAAAGTTCTCATGGACAGTACTGGGCTAAAGTCTCAGAAGTTGAATCCATCTTAGAGCTGAGAAATAGTGGAGTCTTAGAAAGGTGGGATACGTCACCTTAGAATGTTGGTATCTTAGTACGATGGACTCCCAAGATAGCCTTGGTCAGGAAGTGGAACAGCACTTCTCCCATCACCTTGAAATGACAAACGTTACCATTAAATCATGGCTACCTACAAGGTGGGGATTGGGGGTCACAGAAGTATCCAAACCTGGATAAAGAGGCAAGCAAGTGGCAGAGCATCTCACCTTTGGACCCATCAGGATCAGCCTCCATCCACGTTAACTAGAGGACCTGGTGCCCAGCGTTGGTCAGGAAACCCTTAACAGGCTTTGAAGGAGCAATGCAGGAGGAAGAGAGTTTCTCATGTGAGTGAGGTCAAGGGCAAGATAACTAACAGAAGACCCTGCAGCCAGCCGATCACTGGGTGACCATCACTGGATGACCTCAAGAGAGTTACTCAACCACCATGAGCCTTGATTGCCTCATCTGTAAAATGGCAATAATAGCTTGTATTCATAGAGCGCTTATTCCTGCCAGGCGACTTGCCAAGGATGTCATACGCTTCATCTCCTTTTTTATCCTCACAATAAACTCAGAAAGCAGTTCTAAAATTACTTTTCTCCCTGTCTCTCTTCCACCACCCCCCGCCTTTTTTTTAACGATTGGCCCTGTCTCCCCACGTGGAATGTGAACTGCTAGAAGGCAGTTCATCTTTTAATCCAGAGCACCTGGTAGAGAGCAGATCATAACGGTTTCTCTTTCTCACTCTTGGGGAGGACGTGGAGGTGAGTCTGAGCGAGGTGCCAACCATTTCCCGCTTGCAAGGCAGCTAGCTTTACTTCTCCCTGGTTATTTCCGATTCACGTCTCCTTTAGGGAACACGGGGAAAATTACTTGAGGATGGGCATGGTCATACAAGCAGATGGAATGTGTGTGACCCCCGGGCAGGAGAAATTAAGAGCTAGGCCCAATTATCCATTCTTTTTTTGCCCCACTGCTGGGCACATGTGCTGTGGAGTTACCATAAGATTGAAGGTCCCCGGATTATTGACTTGCTGTGTAAAGGACAGCTCCTGGAGAGACACCCGAGCTCACCATGGACTTTGTGAGAACAAGAAGGAAGCATTAGGGACTTCCCTGGTGGCGCGGTGGTTAAGAATGTGCCCGCCAATGCAGGGGACACGGGTTTGAGCCCTGGTCCGGGAAGATCCCACATGCCGTAGAGCAACTGAGCCCGTGAGCCACGACTACTGAAGCCTGTGCACCCTAGAGCCCATGCTCCTCAACAAGAGAAGCCACCGCAGTGAGAAGCCCGCGCACCGCAACGAAGAGTAGCCCCTGCTCACTGCAACTAGAGAAAGCCCACACACAGCAACGAAGACCCAACACAGCCAAAAATAAATAAATAAATTTTTTTAGAAAAAGAAATAAGCATTGCTTTGTTAGGTCACTAAGGTTTGGGGGACTTATTGTTACTACAGCACTGTCTGACCTATCCTGTCTAATACAACCAACTTTGAATCCCCTTCATCCTGCCTAAGCCCCAGGGTGCTCCCACCTGGCACTCCAAATCTCCAGCATAGGATGGCTGATGCTTGTGGTCAATAGAGGGTCCCAGGTGGTCTGGACTGGGCCATCAAGTGTACATTACAAAGCCTAGGCCACTGGAAACGACGCTGACTCTCTTTATCTCCTCATAAGCAGCTAGCTCTTGGACACTTAAAGTTGCTGGGTCAAGCACTATTATTTGACTTTTTTGATGCACTTTATGTAGATAACAAGGAAGTTTTCCAGAGACCATGTCTGTTTTTGAAGCTATCTCCTCTCTCCTTGGAATGAAGGAAGACAGTAGAAAGTTTTCTCCAACGGCATGTGTCCTGGGCATGTGCTGGTTCTGTCCCAGCATTCTGCCCTTTCCCTGAAAGCCCTGGGTTCTGTATGGAGATACACAGGCAACCATAAGTAGGAGCACGAGCATGTGACCCAGGAGGAGCCTATCAGCACGCCCCTCCTTCTGACCACAGAGATTGACTCAGAGGTGGGCATGGGAACTGAGCTGTTCAATCAGGGTGGATCTCAGGGCTTTGGGGGCAGTGCCCAGACTAAGACACTCCCTCTCCTCCTTGCTAGGTGGGAACACAAGAACATGTGCTTATGAGCCCTGCAAAGAGCCTGGGGGTAACCAGACTGAGAATGAAGTTGACACTGTGGGAAACAGATGACAGAAAATAATGGTGTTCTTCATGGGTGACATCCTTGAACTGCTGGACCAAATTTCACCGGATAGCTGAAATCTCCAACTTTTCTGTGTCATGAACCTAAGACCCTTCATTTTTAAGCTAATTTGAATCAGATTTTCTATTACTCATGACATAAATTGTCCTAACTGGTACACCACTTATACATCAGGGGACTAGACCTCTGTCATTATCCTAGAGTTAGACACCCCAGAGACATGAGATTATCCTGTCTGAAGCCAGGAGAGATAAGGGACTCCTCCAAGTTCAATCAGGAAGTCCCAGGAAGTTCCTGGCTCCTGACTGCCCAGAAGGGGAATCGTGCTGGATGTGCGCACATATTTGGAGAGACAGGGAGGGAGGGAGTGGAAAAGAGAGACAGAGAGAGACAGAGAGAGAGGGATGCTCCTTTTGCAGGAGTGAGTGCTGGCTGCCTGTAGCATAAATACATGCAAATTTATTCAGAGAAACTCTGCATGGCATGGGCAGATATAAGCAAAGTAAGGAAGAAAATTCATCTCAGTCCCAGGGATTTTACCTCTGATAGGGTGCTCCTCAAGATGCCTGTGAAACCCTCATTATTCCTCTTCTTTTCTCCAACTGGCCCCCAAGTCCTGGCTGATTCTACTTGAACACCCATCTCTCGAATCCGCCCCTTCTCACCAGCCCTGCACCAGTGCACTGGGTCCTGTCTCATGTGTTCTCCAGGGAGCTATTTCTCCAGTCCCTGCCCTGGGCTTCCTGTCTCCAGATTTGTCCTCTGCACAGTAGAGCTTCCTAAGGTGCCAATTGGATGGGGCCATGTCCTTGCTTAAGAGCTTCCAATGGCTGCCTGTCATCCCCAGGACAAACCCAAGTTCCATATCCTAATATGCAAAGGCACTTCCTCCTTTCTGCCCCATGGGTCCTGAGCTCCAGCCACACACCCCGCTCCTTTTGTTGAATCTTTGGGTGCACCTCATGCCACAAGACTTTTGCGCATGCCGTTCTCCCTGCTGGAAATGCCATTCCTTTTGGCATCTGAGAAAAGCTTCCCTCCTCCATAAACCCAGTTCAGAAGTCATTTCTTCTGTAACATCTTTTCTTATCTTCTCAGACATAATTACTCTGTCTTCCTGTATGTAATAATGTACAATAATATGTAACAATTCAATAGTATGTAATAATCATAATAGTAAGGAGTGCTAACTATGGCCCCAGCACCATGCTAAGCATTTGATATGGGTTATCTACCTCATCAAATACTCCCAATATCCCTTCAAAGTAGATGTCATAATAATAATTACCCTCTTCTGCCATTTTATAGACAAGGAAATCATCACTTGGTGAGATAAAGTTGTTTGCCCATGGCTCCACAGCTAGAAGGAAGCAGAGCCCCTGCTCTAACCCGTTACATCATTCCACCTGTAGGTTATATTTTTAAGATGATTTACAGTTTATTAAGCACTTTTACGTGTATTAAGTTATTTGAGTTTCACGATGACCCAGAGAGGTATATGTTAGTCTCCTTCACTTAACCATGAGCTTTATGAGGACCATGTCAGTTTCTTAGTCATTTGTAACCTTAGCATTCATCTTGAAGGTGTTGGATGGATGGATGGATGGATGGGTGGATGGATGGGTGGATAGGTGGATGGGTAATGCCTGGGTGGGTAGATGGGTAGGCGGATGGATGGAGGGACGCACAGATGGATGGATAAATGCATGAAGGGACAATGAATGGATTGGTAGGTGGATGGGTGGATAGGTAGATGATAAGGTGGATGGCTGGCTGGCTGGATGGATGAATGAAGGGATGGATTGGGGGTGAGAGTTATGTAGGAGTGGATGTGAGAATGGTTAGAAGGATGAAGGGTTAGCTGGCTAGCTGGCTGACTGGCTGGCTGGATGGATGGAAGAATGAATCAGTGGACGAATGGTCAGACAGATGAAGCAGTAAACCCCCTCCCCACTGTCCATTCCAATACTTCTCTGAATCTGGGTACCACATTTGCCATTAGAGCTTTGTGAATGAGCCCAGGGATGCAAGCCCGCTATATTCCAGCCATCTTCTCCCCTTCCTCCATCCAGCTCCCTGCTCACTGCAGAGGAGGTAATGTATTCTTTTGGAAAGGCCGTCTTTCAGCATCTCATCTCCATGCAGTGGCTGGGCCTAGCACCCTGTGTATTTGCACTGGCTGGGGCATTGAATTCTCTGAAGATGGAACGAAAACAAGAGACTCAGGACTGGCATTTCCAACTCCCCAAGGAGGAAGGAGACATCCCATGCCATATCCTCCCCCGACCACCGTCATCTGCTTTCTAAATAAACCCTGAGACGGAGCTGTATGGGGTTATAAATCAACTGGAAATCAAATGCTAACATGTAAATAAATTGCAAATCAGCTGAGAAATTGGTTTCATTTTGAGACGATAAAGCACATTTCTCCCGTGCTGATTTTGTAAGGCGCCCCTTAAGAATTGTAATATTTCTGTGTGGTAATGATAAACATTAGCGAGTTGCTTTAGAAATGAAAAAATAGACAGCCTCTGGGGATTTGAAAAACATATGCACTTCAAATTTGAAAATCCAATTTAACTGTCCATTATAGGGAGAATAAAAAGGTAAGGATAGGATAATTTTGTAGTTACACAGCATTTGACTAAATCTGATTCCACGATGACAGGCACACTTTAAAAGCTACAAGTCTGAATGCGAGGAGACAGCAAATCATTTATTTATGATTGTAATCTAGCTCCTGTCTCGCAAGTTAGCGACTGAGCCGCTTGCTCCCTGGCTACGGACGGCATGTGTACACTTGTCAGTGAGTACTCTTAAAAACACTTCTCATGGAATTTCTGGGTTCGGGAGGGAAAAAAAATCATAAACGAGAGAGAAGACAAAAGAGATCGTCCTTGTCAAATTTACCCAAACAGGCAGATGTTGAAATTGTGAAAGTTTAGAAAGAAACAAATCTTTTTTGCTCCTTAACTTCTGCTGAAAGCAACTATGAAAAATGTGTATGCGTGTGTGTGTGTGCAAGCATGTATACATGCTCACATGCGTATGTACTTTAGTGCAATGATGAACACA